TGATGCTGGCCTCATACAATGTCTTGGGAAATGTTCCCTACGATTATAATTTTTGAAGAGTTGGTGAAGAATTGGTATTAATTATAGTTTAAATATTTGGTATAATTCAGTAGTGATGGTAGTAGGACATTGCAGCACATTACAAAAGCCACAGAGTTTTGTAATCAGATATGCCTTAAAATACCACTTATATTTGTCAGTATTATGTGTGAACATGTAAACAACTACAGTTACATAATTTCAAAATGAGAAAAATAATTTTCTCTGAAGATTCTATTAAGACACAAACTTGTATATCATTTTTAATGTGACTTTATTCTCCCAGGAGTTTAGTGTTTGTTGATGTAGCTCCATACTAAATACTAAATAGATCTTTCTGGCGAAATGTGTCAGAAGATTTATGACTTAAAGATACAGTTGGGAGGAAGGATTTTGTCGTATATTGGCATCCACATGAGTACTTTAAAGTGTCAGTTTATAGAAACTAGGCAAACAATGTGTCTCCTTTCTATTTGCTGCTTATAGGCTTTCAACAGCTTCCCTCATTTATATATATTTTGGATTCAATAGATGTGATCTCTGATTTCAATAAATAATATACAAGTTACTGTACCAATCACGTTTCAAACCACAGTTGATAATAAAACCCACTTTTAAATCTCAATTTTGTAATGTAGGACCTGCCCTTAGAAGATAAAGAGGCAAAATGAACTAAACAGTAGACAATATAAAATGATATAATTCTAAGAAAATCTGTTTTGGTTGTGGGATTGCCATATATATCACTCTATTATCTATTTTTTATTTTCTATACTGAGCCCTCTCACTATCTAGGATTCATTGTCTTATGAATTAACAAGAGTGTGGCTGCATATAAATTTTAGTATCTCCGATAAATATGGAAAAAAGAGGTAATTATCTTGTATTTAAGAAAATATGGCTAAAGAAAATAAAAATCACAGACATTGCAGAAAACTGGGCTCTTAAGTCATCCAAATGATTGACATTTCAATTTTCCATTTTTATTTTTATATTATTAATCTGTTACTTTTATTATTTTTTTTGTTTTTTTCTTTGTTTTCCTTTTTTGTTTGTTGCTTTATTTTCTACTTCTTTTCACATTATTTTTTCATCATTCAATTTTATTTTATTTTTACTTGCTATTTTCTATTTTTAAATGATTTTTTTGTAAATATATTATTTTGTTCCCCTTCTTTCTCTTGTTATCCACTCATCCCTTTCCTACTTCCTCTATACTGAAGTGAGGTCCTCCCAATATTTATCCAATTCTTAACCTTATTTCCTGTATATCAGCTCAGCCTCTACATATTCTGCCCCCACCCCTTTTACTGAGTGTTTGGTGTTTATATTTGTTTGGTTTATCTATTGGCTACCCCCTGTTAAAATTTCCCACTACTTATATATCTAATTACCAATCTCCTGCTCTAAATCCACATACACCTGTTTCTTCTCTTTCTTCACTATCCAAAGTTTTTTTTTCTCTCTGTCAGTTTGTTGTTGTTTGCTTGATTGTTGAGTATATTGGGTTTTTTTTTTAATGCTTGTTTGTGAGATTGTTTTTCTTTTTTCTTTTTATTTTTCTGTTTTTTTTTCCCCATTACTTTTTTTGCTTCTGTTCTCCCTCACCTCGTTTGATATTAGTTGTTGTTCGTAGTTTGCATTCATCTCCAGGAATCTGTTACTGGAATTTTTTGGGATAAGTGGCTGTTCTATTGGAGTTTTCTCCCCATATAAATATGTTCTTCCCCTCTTCTATTTCATTCTCTTTCTTTTCTCTCTTACTTTTTTTTTCCTTTTCCCAATTTCATTTTTTGCATTAGAGCATGAGTGGTGGGGGGGGAGATCGGGGTTAATGGGGGGATCAGGACACATTTGTAATACCTTAACAAATAAAGAAAGTTAAAAAAAGGAAAATATGGCTAATCTTTGTATTTAAGCATGATTACACACACATATTTTTTCTGGCAATATAGAAAGTGAAATACTGGTGTACTTTCATTGAAAAACCATCAGCTTTCTACATTGTTAAATACTAACCTATCTGTATACTTTCAAAGCATTCATCATTTATTATCAAGAGAGGTATTATTTTTTTTTTTTTGCTACAACTGAATTTAATCGAGGGGAATGAAGCAAAACTTTTGTGATTCAGTTACATCAATTAATTTATGCAATGTGGTTGAAGAGGTATATATTTCAAGAAAAAATTAATTCAAATACCACTTTATTTCTACCATTATAATTTTTACTCCAAACTTTCCAGACTGATATTGTATATGTGACATGAGTAATGCAAAAACAAAGTATTTGCTTTTTAAATGTATAAAAAAGCAGAATCCAATATGATGAATGTGGAGCTCTCTAGAGAATGGGACAGGTACTAGATGAAAAATTGATTAAAATATTTTTAAAACTTTTGCCACTTAAAAAATACTACTTCATTTTCCTTGTAAAAAATAATCTAGTGTCTGGAATCATAGTCCTAGTTCTTTGCTGATTAGATTCACAGATTTTCTCTAACTGATTAGATTGCTTGGCTAAATGTAGGTCAAACTCACACTAGCAGAACTTTTAGCATTTGACTATTATTCTAATGCAATTAGATGATAAGGCTTCTTTACTGAAAACTTGAAATTGTCAGCTGTAGCTGTGGTTTCAAAATAGTGATTAATTCTAGATACTGACATTCCCATAGCAACATGTTTCAAACAAACAGATTTCATATTTACCAGTGCTCCCCATATCAGCATAGTTCAACAGGCATAAACTTCATTTTGAGGATGTTTGCTAAGCTTCTGGTATATATTCAGATATTTTTTATTATTTGGAGTATTTTACTCTGGTCTATGAATTAATTGTTTCTTCCCTAACTAATTTTTCAACTTGAAATTGTTTACTAATATATCTAGTATAGTATCATTAGAATAATACCTGGGTGAGGTTTAATATTACAACCTTCACTACAATAGATTACTGGCTCTCTTTTCTTACTAATTTTAGTACAAAACTGTAAAACATAATTATTTTTTATGGGGAAAAACTGAACTAATTTTTTATGATGGAAAAAAATTGAGGATAAATTTCTACAAAAGTGTTAGAATAATTTTTTCAAAATATTTTTAGTGTCTGTTATACATCAGGTATGAATTAGAAAATAGAAAAGCTCACAATAGATTCTCACTTTCATTAGTCAAAAATAAATGCAAATTAAAAACACAATGATATGTCAATACATATTTATGCAAATGGGATAATAAACAAACAGAAACATTAAGAGGTAAAACAACCCCAACAATATCAGGTGTTAGCTAGGATGGAAAAGTCTGGAGCTGGTATATAGATGGTGGCAATGGATAATGGTATAGTCATTTTGAAAAGCATATGCTTACATAATGTTCCAGTAATCTCACTCCACGGCTTTTAAATTTTACCCAGTGAAATGAAAACATGTTTACATGAAACCCAGCAATGAATGTTCATAATGGATTTATTTGTATTCATCTAAAACTGTCAAGTATACAAATGTCATTCAACTGGTGAGTCAATAAATAAGATTTAATGTCTAGATATTAGACAATACACAAAACAAAAATACAGGGGATGGCAAAAGTAGGCTTACAGTTGTGAGTACACAAAACACAACATATTTTTGTATTACATATTTTTACATATGAACAACTCTAAACCTGCTTTTGCTCAGCCCTGTATACTAAATAAAATAAGCTTATTAAAAATATAAAGCATAGGTAATTCACAAATATATTATGCTATTTGAATATATCCAGACTCTAAATTCTATAAATAATATAATTCCATTGCTATCACATTGTGGAGAATGAAAAACCATAGGAACAGAAAACATCGGTGTTGGCAGAGGCTGGGGGTGAGGAGGTTGAGGAGTAGGTTGGCCACAACATGGCATGGGGGTTTTGGAGTGCCTGAACTGTTTTATATCTTGACTAGGGGCCCAATGCACGAAATTCATACAAGGGTCTCGGCCCTCGCATCTGCGGCAGCTTGCCTTGGTCCTTGCAGACCCAGCTTCCTCTGAAAGGCTGTCTGGTCTAATTAGCATATTATGCTTTACTATTATATATTGTGGTGGTGGGCACATAACTGTGAGTGCATTTCAAAACTTGTAGAATTTTATGGTAAAAATGGTGAATGCTGTGATATGTAAATTATATCTAAAAATGACAAATTTTAAGAAAAAAAATCCTGATGTGTTACATCTATTGTTGCTATCTACACTAATAAAAGAGAAACATGCAAATTGGTGTCACTCTGCTCCCCTTCCCATTGGCTAATCAGGAAGATACTCAACTTAACTGCCAGCCAAGATGGCGGCCAGAGGCCAGGCAGCTGGAAGTTAACATGAGGCTTGCTTGCTTCAGTGATGGAGGACTCCAACGTTCCCTGCCTGCCGCTGCCGGCATTTGAGCTTGCAGTTTGAAACATTCTTACAAATATAGAAGCTAAACAAAATCCCAGAAACCTGCTTTACTCAGCCGGGCTTCAGCCAGCCGGACCACAACATTGAATCAAATACAGAAGGTAAACAAAGGCCAGAAACCTGCTTTCAGCAGCTGAGGCCTCAGAGCTAAAGCTGGCCCAGAATAAAAAAAAAGAAAAAAGAAAAAAAGGAGCACTTGGGAGCTTCAGTCACCCGCCAGCCTGAAAAAGACCCTCAGCCCCTGAGCCAGACTGGCCAGGCACCCCAGTGGGGACTCCCACCCTGATCCAGGACACCCTTCAGGGCAAAACAGCCAGCCCCCACCTGTGCACCAGGCCTCTATTCCATATAGTGAAAGGGTAATATGCCTCCCAGAACCGTGATCAGTGGAGCCGCGAAGCCTCCCAGCACCGGGATCAGTGGACCCGCGAAGGCTGCCAGCACTGGGATCAGCGTGACAGGGGGCAGAGCCGAAACCGCCTGATCGCCCTGCGGCTCTGTGTGTAACAGGGTGTAGTGCCCTAACCCCCTGATCGGCCCTGCTCTGTGTGTGACAGGGTACAGCGCCCTATCCCCTGATCGGCCCTGCACTGTCGGTGACAGGGTAGAGCCTTAACCTCCCCATCGGCCCTGACCTGTGTGTGACAGTGGCGCCGCTCCAACCCCCTGTTCATCCCTTCTCTGTGTGTGACAGGGTGCGAAGCCTCAACTCCCCACCCCTCACGGGCCCTGCTCTGTGTGTGAATGGGGTAGAGCCATAACCTCCCCATCGGCCCTGCCCTGAATGTGACAGTGGCAGCACCCCAAACCCCTGATCGGACCTGCTCTGTGTGTGACAAGGGGCGGTGCCCCAACCCTCCTCATGGGCCCTGCTCTGTGAGTGACAGTGGGGAGCTCCTCAACCTCCTGATTGACCCTGCTCTGTGTGTGAGAGGGTACGGAGCCCCAACCCCCCCGATGGGCCATGCTCTGTGCATGACAGGGGGCAACTCCCCAATCGGCCCTGCTCTGAGCCCAACCAGGGGCTGCACCTAGGGATTGGGCCTGCCCTCTGCCACCTGGGAGCAGGCCTAAGCCAGCAGGTCAGTATCTCCTGAGGGGTCCCAGACTGCGAGAGGGCACAGGCCGGGCTTAAGGACCCCCTCTCTCCCCCGAGTGCACAAATTTTTGTGCACCAGGCATCTAGTCCTATCTAATAAAAGAGAAACATGCAAATTGACCATACCCCCCAATGCTTCCCATTGGCTAATCAGGGCGATATGCAAATTAAATGCCAACCAAGATGGCGGCTGGCAGCCATGCAGCTGAAGCGAACAGGAGGCTTGCTTGCTCCAGTGACGGAGGAAACCAAGGTACCCGGTCTGCGGCAGCCCAGCTCTGAGCTGCAGATGTAACAAAGTTGCAATTATAGAAGCTAAACAAGCTCCAGATAGCTGCTTTCAGCCGGCAGCGGGCTCAGAGTTTAGAGCGGCAGTCATGGCAACAGAGTTTCAATTATAGAAGCTAAACAAAGCCCAGATATCTGCTTTCAGCAGCCGAGGCCTCAAGCTGGAGCCAACCTCAGAGCTAAAGCCAGCTCTCAGCTCCAGTGACAGCCATAGAAAGTAAATAAATCCCATAATAAAAAAAAGAAAAAAGAAAAAAAGGAAAAGCTGGGAGCTTCAGTCACCCTCCAGCCTGAAAACGGCTCTCAGCCCCTCATCCAGACTGGCCAGGCACCACAATGGGTACCCCCCACCCTGAAGGGGGTGCGGGCAGCCTAAAAACAGCCATCATTCTGTCATCCAGGCTGGCCAGGCACCCAAGCGGGACCACCACCCTGGTCCAGGGCACTCTTCAGGGTAAACCAGCCGGCCCCACCCCATGCACCAGGCCTCTATACTATACTACAGACAGGGTGGGACAGCATGAGCTGCCATCCAGGCCCCATGTGCAGCCCTGGGCAGCAGGGCATAAGCCCTACTCCCCCAGCTGGGACCCCTATGTGCCACCTGAGCCCCCAGCATGACCCCTGTGCCGCCTAAGCCCCGCACTGCTAAGCCCCGCCCCCAGCCAGGACCCTATGACTATTGGAGAGCAGGAAAGTGCCGCGGGACCCTGGGTCGCTGTGGTGATCTGGGCATTGGTAAGTAGAAAAGTGCGGCCTGTAGGCAGCCCCTAGCTGTGCCTGATCAGGGAGCAGGAAAGCCGAGCCTGCGGGCAGCCCCCAGCTGGGCCTGCTCCCCCATCACCATGGCGATCCTCGCGCAGGAAAGCCCAGCTTGCAAGCAGCACTCCCATCCTGGCCATAGCTCAAGGGAGAATACAACATGCAGTGGAGGCCAGGCACCTGAGAGATCAACACAGAGGGACTGCTGCTCCAAGCCTCTATGGTGTGGCTGGAGGCCGGCCCCCAGCAGAAACACACACACACACACACACACACACACACACACGGGACGCCTGCTCTGAGCCTCTGCTCCCAGACTGTGGCCCTCTGTAGGATATCCACTGAGGGCTCCCGGACTGTGAGATGGGCAGGCTGGGCTGAGGGAACCCCACCCGAGTGCACAAATTTCATCCACTGGGCCTCTAATACTTCTATAATTTAAGATTAAACAGCATTCAAAAGAATTGGGTCAGTCCTAGCAATATAATATTCAGTCAAAGAAGTAAATCCTTAAAAGCACACATAACATGATAGCCACTTTATAAAATCAACTGAAACTAAGCAGTATTTTTATTTTATTTTAAGAATTCCTATAGTTGTCACTCATGTGCATTCAATGGTGTGTGTGTTTATATGAGTGTGTGTATAAAGTAAAAGAATGGTCTACATAAGATCCAGAATAGTTGTTTCTTTTTTTTGTGGTCACAGGATAAGAGTATGTGCAAATTGCATTTTTAATCTGAATGGTGTGTATGTGAGTGTTGTCCTTATGATAAACAGTATTTCACCTATCTTCTTTTTATGAATTACATATTGCATAGTACTATTTTAAAATAATAACTTCCATTGATAGCACTTAGGTAGGTGCTTTAAATATATTTTCCAAAAAAAAAAGAGAAACTATTTGGATTTAAATTAGACTTTATAATTTAGTATTTTAACAATTGACAAAATATTTAGTTGACTTCAAGAAACTAAATTTTATTCAGTTAAAAGATAAGTACTAAACAAATCTACCTTTTAAACTTTTTAAGAAGAAAAAAGAAATAAGTTAATGCTAGAGTAACTGAAGTCTCATTAATTAACAGTAATTCATTGTCCATAACAGTATATTAAGAAATTGATTTCAATTTTGGAAGAACATTGGAAATAATACTAATAAATTCATTCTCTTTATATGTATTTTCTGAATTTTCTATATTTTCTGTTATTATAATACTAGAGGCCTGGTGCACAAAAATTTGTGCACTCGGGGGGGAAGGGGCGGTCCCTCAGCCCAGCCTGTGCCCTCTCACAGTCTGGGACACCTCGGGAGATAACGACCTGCTGGCTTAGGCCTGCTCCCAGGTGACAGAGGGCAGTCCCAATCCCTAGGTGCAGCCCCTGGTTGGGCTCAAGCAGGGCTGATTGGGGAGCTGGGGCACTGCCCCTCTCATGCACAGAGCAGGGCGGTTCGGGAAGTTGCGATGCCATCCTCAGTCACACTCAAGGTAGGGCCGATTGAGGGGTTGGGGTACCGTCCCCGGTCACAATCAAGGCAGGGTCAATGGGCAGGTTGCCGCACCACCCCCAGTCATGCACAGAGCAGGGCCAATCAGGGGGTTGGGGCGCTGTCCCCTGTCACGCACAGAGCAGGGCCCATCAGGGGGGTTGGGGCTCCATACCCTGTCACGCACAGAGCAGGGTTGATCAGGGGGTTGGGGAGCTCCCCCGTCACATACAGAGCAGAGCCAATCAGTGGGTTGGGGCACTGCCCCCTGTCACGCACAGAGTAGGGCCCATCAGGGGGGTTGGAGCTCTGTACCCTGTCATGCACAGTGGAGGTTCAGGGGCTTGAGGAGCTCCCCATTCTCATGCACAGAGCAGGGCCGATAAGGGGGTTGTGGAGCTTCCCCCCTGTCATGCACAGAGCAGGGCCGATCAGGGGGTTAGGGAGGTACCCCATGTCACGCACAGAGTAGGGCCCATCAGGGGGGTTGGAGCTCCATATCCTGTCATGCACAGAGGAGGGTCAATCAGGGGGTTGAGGAGCTCCCCACTGTCATGCACAGAGCAGAGCCGATCAGGGGGGTAGGGAGCTACCCCCTGTCACGCACACAGTAGGGCCGATAGGGGAGTTGGGGCACCACCCCCTGTCACACACAGAGCAGGGCAGAGCAGGGGGTTGGGGTGCCGCACCCTGTCACACTCAGGGCAGGGCCAATGGGGAGGTGATGGCTCTACCCTGTCACACACAGAGCAGGGTCAGTGGGGTGGGGAGGGAGGTTTGGGTGCCACACCCTGTCACACACAGAGCCGGGTTGATCAGGGGGTTAGGGCGCCAGACCCTGTCACACACAGATCAGTGCCGATCAGAGGGTTGGGGCACCACAGCCTATCACACACAGAGCCACAGTGTGATCAGGGGGTTGGGGAGCTCCCCCCTATTAGGCACAGAGCAGGGCTGATCAGGGGGTTGGGGCGTGTTCCCCTGTTATGAACAGAGCAGGGCCAATAGTGAGGTTGTGGCCCCACCCCCATCACACACAGAGCCACAGGGCGATCAGGGGGTTTGGGTGCTGCTCCCTGTCACACTAATCCCGTGCCCGGAGGCCTCACGGCTCCGCTGATCCCAGTGCTGGGAGGCATATTACCCTTTTACTATATCGGATT